CCTGTCGCACCCCAAGGTGTACAGGGAATGGCTCTGACTCCAGGCCACGTAGTTTTACCCGGACCCGCTCACCATCATGAAGGTCCTTAATGATCGTGAGCAGGGGGTCAGGGACTCCAAATGCACGAAGAACAACCCAGAGCCCATGTCTACTGATGGTATCATAGGCCTTGACCAGGTCAATAAAGCAGAGATGTAGGTCTTGTTGGAATTCCCTACACCTCTGCTGTTGCAGACGGACAGAAATATGGCATCTGTGCAGGACCGCCCTTTCCTGAAACCGCATTGGGGCTCCACAAGCCTCTCCGCAGCGTGCCTGGCAAGGTGATGTTGAATAATCCTTGCCAGGACCTTTCCCGGCACACTGAGGAGTGAGATGCCCCTGTAGTTGTTACAGTCTGTGCGGTCCCCCTTCTTAAAAAGGTGGACCACCAGGGCATCCTTCCAATCCTGCGGAACCTGTCCAATGGTCCAGACTGTTGTCATGATGTCATATAGGACAGTCTGTGCACAAATGCCACCCTCCCTCAGCATTTCGCTTGGGAGATCATCTCTGCCCGGTGCCTTTCCTGGTCTCAGACTCCGGATCGCCTTCAGTACTTATCGCAACAGATGGCACCTCAGCCAGCCACTCACAGGGGGTGACTTCTTCCAATATTTGAGGCACCGCAGCCTCAGCAGGGTCATCCCCACTTTGTGCCACGATGTTTTCCTGGCTGAGGGGTTTCCCCTCCCCCAGGACCTCACAGAAATGCTCAGCAAATCTGCAAACCTGTTCCTGGGGGTCGGAGATTGGAACACCGTTTTTTCCCCTACCACGCACACACACTATCACACACACACACTATCACACACACACACTATCACACACACACTATCACACACACTACCACACACACGCAGTCACCCTATCACACACCACCATAGCACATATCGCACTGAGTCAGCGGTGCAAACACCGACAACGTGAACTGGAAAACCCACAGGAATGTCATTTGAACTCTGTACACAGTGTTTTGGAATTCGTGATTGGGGCTTGGCCTGACACCACTCTCTCTACATTACACCGATCTGAAAGCCCACACGGTCACAGTCCCGAACAACCATCGTCTCAACGCCATCCCCGAAAACAAAATGCACACAATGCGCACACAGCATACAGTCACAAGCACTCTAAGCCTCAGCCTAGTGCCATCCTGACCCAAACCCAAAGAAGCCATATGGCGAGACCCGCTATCACGCCGCTTGGATCCTGCTAGAAAGGTACCTACTCATTCTATGTAGTGTTATGCAGCCAATACCCCCACAGGTCTTGTGTTAAGAGTTCTCGAGAAACTCTGCAGTCTCATGCCACGGCTCATCCCAGTTCTCCTGCCCTCTAATCAGTATAGACATCTCACACCTCTTGTTATAATTCAATCAATATTCGCTTAGTATGAGCCCAAGATATCTCAAAGCGATTAAAATATCGAACAAAAAATTATTGAAATGAATAGTGAAAGCATAACGCTGATTACACAGATCCCTTGTTCCTCTGGGATTGACAGCATCACCCAGGATATTTTTCCAAAATCGTGGCCATGGTGGCATCTCTCAGGAGCAAGGTTCAGCATATCTAGGCGTACCTAGATGACCTAATCCAATCGGGCTGCACAAAGGATCTACAGATTGTGTTCTCAGAGGTGGTAAATGTCCTTCAGGACCATGAGTTTATCCTGAATGGCACAAAATGCCAGCTGCAGTATATCAACATTATAGGGGCGGTGTTAAACCTGATTCAGGGAAGGGCCTTTACGACTCCAGAGAAGGTGACTCCTGCATGAAGAGATAGCAAGGTGAATAAGTACTGGCCGGGCCGCAAGGATCATGTCCTATCGCACGATCCTAGACCACATGGAACCCTCCCAGCGGAAGCATGGCGGCGGTTTGTTCCTCTCTCTTTCAGGCAGGGTTGGATTAAGGTTATTCTAGGCCCTATGCATTTCTGTTTCGTAGGCCGCCAGTGATACCTTTCTACAGTTTGTTACTACCTCCATTGTCACTCACTTGTTTCACACATACCTTGTCCAGCCGCTGGACAGATGTCGTTACTGATACGTTCATTATTTAGTCTGTGCCCTCATTCGATGGGAGCGCGCTGTGCCGCAGATAAGCAGATTTAATTTTAAACTATTGAGAAAAAAACCAAGGTAAGCATAAAAATATAAGCGAAAGTTTCTTCAACATTTTTTTCCTATTATCAAATTGGATGACGCAGCTTTAAAGGATACCGTTCATTTTAATCGATAACACATTCAATGTTTTGACAGGACGACCGCATGGTGAGGGCCATATTTCTTTACTTTCGTTTAAGCTTAAATATTTGTTTGTTATTTCAGGTATAATATGCCTCACAACGAGTCAACGACTTGTTACCACTGCAAAAAAATGCAAGGAGCAGCCATATGAACATATTTATTCAAGAAGATATATTGGTTACATTTTTTATTATCCAAGCAAAAAAATAATGGTAAATCTTTTCCGTAGGTCCTTTAGTTTTCCTCGGCCCTAGGCATAGTGCCTACTGTACCTACTGGATAATACGGCCCTGCTTTCAGGTGGCAGTAAGAGACTTGCACGGATGGATTTAATATTTACATTCAACACGAGGGAAGGCATTGGGTTACTTCAACAAATGAGCGCTTTTGGAGACAAACGCGAGAGCCTGTGTTGGTCAGGGCGCGTCTCGTGAGAGGCGAGTGTTCAAAGAAATGGGTTCGAGTGTGAACTTGCGACAGCTCAGGGCAGTCCGTGTGGCGCTACGTCAACGAGCGGAGACTGTCAGCCACCGTGGTAGACAGGGCTCATCGAGGAATGGCTTGTTGATGCAGGGAATCGTTTATCATCCTGTGGAGGAGCATGAGTCATCTCGCCAGAGTGGAAAACAAGACCGTAGGCTGGCTCATCCAAGAGATGCTTAACGGCCGTGAGTGGGTGAGGTGTTGCATCCTGAGGTTTCTGCTCAAGTAGTGACAACATTTTGGTGAGCCACCGACAGATTGGTTTGCCTCCATGGGAAACACAATGTTGAAGCAGTTTTTGATTAGATCTATGCAGCAGTGGGTCCTAGCGACAGATACCATGGCGTGTCGTAATCAGGCCCTGGGACAGTCTCTCCATCTCCCTTGAATACCAATGTGATTTTTTTATTTCGTATGGCTGATGTAGATGCAGAGCAACAACATTGAGGTGGTCAAGCCAGATAACTGCGTTAGGAGGAGCGGAGTGTATCGCTGCAATAGCTCCGTTTTTGTGGAACGGGGCATTGCGTTATGTTGTAAGGTCTATTCTGGATGACCACAGTAGCACATTAGTGAGTTTACAATTTTTTTATTATAAGCTGCTGAAGAAAACAGAGAGGATTGCAAGTAATATTATTTTATTTATATTTCATCTTTATTTAACCAGGTAAAGAAACCTTAATTACCGGCGAAACGTTGTACTTGAATTGTAAATGTTGTGGGTTTATTCTCCAACACACCAGTATGCTGAACTAGTAACTAATTGGCACATTTTGTTTACGTTACAGACCTTACTAATTGGCTGTGTCGGGTGGTGGCGGTTTGAACAACACATTTCTATATTTACGCTATCCAGAACACAGGGGTGATGCTTTGGCCATACGCGGTTTGACATTGATAAGATTCTCATTTCCACGTCGACAAGGAGTGCGCGGTTGGCTTGTAACACTGCAGTGCAGTAGATGCTGCGGATGCCTGTATGTTGAACTTCCTTCGCACCATATGTAGCCAACCGCGCTAATCGGATGACCCTGGAGAGGGCCCGTCGAATGACCCTGGAGAGGGCCCGTCACCCCTGTGAGCCCCCTCCAACACCCCGACCCACATCACCATCATCACCATTGTTATCATTCGTCGCAAGTCAAATAAACATTTTCAGTTTCACTTGCTTTAATTCTATGTCTGAATATATTTTATTCCATTATCTGTTTAAAGTTTTTTTTTTATGAGTGGGGGAAAATAATGTCGAATCAGTTATACAAAGAGGGGGTGGCAATTTCGGACCCAGGAACGCAACCCTATATTTCCCATACGGGCTATTATTTGTCTAACATGGTTTTGCCCAAACAAGACATTTTCTAGGAACGTAACCCCCGCGTTCGGCGAGGTATTTCTGTAACTAGAATTTTTTGCTTCTTCTAAGGTCCCAATTTATTCACTCTTGCCAATAATTTACATTTAATATGTTATTGCTTGCCAATTCTGGCCTTAACAGGGGAAGTATGAATTAAGTGATGCAACAAAAACACTCGTGGGTATGTTGTCAATATCGGTTGACGGACAGGTGACTGGATATGCCGTAACAGAAAACGCCACGGTTTCTCACAGAGAGCTTCTTACAGACGGTCTGTCAAGATATCAGCTTTCATTTCAGTTCGTTGATTCCATCTACAATGGAGCCACTGTTCAGAGGAAAACACGAAATAACAATACAAATATATTGTATGTAAAAATAAACTATTTATCACAGGTCAATCTCATTCTAAATCACACGTGATCCTTTTTTATGATGATACTCGTTAGAAAATCCTTCGTTATTCCATGTGGGAGCTCGTTTAAGTGATTGTCCAATGCATAGAGCAGCAGTATTTGCAGGCACTGTGTTTACTACTTGCCCTGTTGCTGAAGCTAAACTCATCCATCTATAGGCAACTATCTATGTTCGCAATATGGTCTCGAATACTCAACTCCGCGGCTCGGAAACCTCGCCCCGAACTAAGCCTGTCCCTCTCCAGTCCCGCGCCTATCCCTAACTCGACTCTAACCCCCATGGGACAACACACGGCTCGTGTGAAGTTTCATGAGGGAGGGAGAGAGGATGGTGCTGGGAAGGAAGAGGTGAGGGAGTGGAGAGAGGGGACGGAGGCTGGCACTGGGGGAGGGACAGGGGGAGGTGGGGTGGTGCTGGGTTGAGGGGGAGCTAAGGGGTGATGGGAGGGGGTGGTGCTGCGTGGTTGAGCAGCAGCAGCAGGAGGAGGAGACGTGCGTGGGGGCAGGGCTGTAGTTAGGGCTGGGCTCTGCCTCACACGGCGCTCACGGGATCGCGACGCGAGCGGAAAAGTCGATAGAGGGGGCGACAGGGACTGAAGCGAGAGCGGGAAGGCGAGACGGGAGAGGAGAGAGACCAAGATCGGGACCCACGTCCCGCGTCGCTCGGGCCGCACCTGCGTCACCAACTAAACTCACTCCACCTGCGTCACCAACTAAACTCACTCCACCTGTGGCTGCTGCTGCTGCTGCTACCGCTGCTGTCGGGCCCCCGGATCGCCCAGGTGAGGCCGCGGCGAGTGTTGAGTTTGTGTGGAGCGGTGGGGCAGTGGTTAGCGCGCTGCGACCCGAGTTGGAATCCCGCCTACGGACAACAGCAGTGACGATCATCTGAAGCGGGTCCAGCTGAGCCTCCCTTACGTAGCCTCGGTCTCAAATGGGTACCTGGAGCGGTGTGTAAACATCGCCACTGCGGAGATAAAGGCGGCCGGGCGTGGTGCTTTCCGGCCACCCCATGATGTGCCGTGATGGCCTTCATAGGCGCTCGCAAACAACGATCGGCAGCCTGTGAAAGGCTGTAGTGCTGTGTATATATACGGGGTGGTGTTTGAGTTGTGAGTGTGTATTGATGAGTGAGTGAGTGTGTTGGAGCGGGTCCTCCTGTTGTCGCGACTAACATCAGTGGCTGGTGACGCCTCACCTGGTCTCCTTGGGCTGCCCGACATCGACTCAAATCTAAGCGAGGCGCGCGGTGTAAACACCAGCGGGACGCCACCACAGCAGTCGGGATCCCACCACACCAGGCGCACCCCACCACACCAGCGGGACCCCACCACACCAGCGGGACCCCACCACACCAGTCTGGACCCCGCCACACCAGTCTGGACCCCACCACACCAGCGGGACTCCACCACACCAGCGGGACCCCACCACACCAGCGGGACTCCACCACACCAGCGGGACCCCACCACACCAGTCGGGACCCCACCACACCAGTCGGGACCCCACCACACCAGTCTGGACCCCACCACACCAGCGGGACCCCACCACACCAGCGGGACCCCACCACACCAGCGGGACCCCACCACACCAGCGGGACTCCACCACACCAGCGGGACCCCACCACACCAGCGGGACTCCACCACACCAGCGGGACCCCACCACACCAGCGGGACTCCACCACACCAGCGGGACCCCACCACACCAGCGGGACTCCACCACACCAGCGGGACCCCACCACACCAGTCGGGACCCCACCACACCAGTCGGGACCCCACCACACCAGTCTGGACCCCACCACACCAGCGGGACCCCACCACACCAGCGGGACTCCACCACACCAGCGGGACCCCACCACACCAGCGGGACTCCACCACACCAGCGGGACCCCACCACACCAGCGGGACTCCACCACACCAGCGGGACCCCACCACACCAGCGGGACCCCACCACACCAGTCTGGACCCCACCACACCAGCGGGACCCCACCACACCAGCGGGACCCCACCACACCAGCGGGACCCCACCACACCGTGGCCGCCACGATGGCTTTGGGATGTGAACTCCCTTGCCTGGTATACACGAGGTTGTGTGTTCGAGGTCGTGTGTTCGAGCTCGACCCTGACGATGCCTGCCATATATATTTGGAGTTTGCGTGTCTCTCTTTCCCCGTGATCGCGTGGCGTTTTCTCCGGGTCCTCCCGTTTAGAATCAACATCACGTGTTTAGAATCAACATCACGTGTTTAGAATAATTCGGCTGCTCTACATTCCCACATGATAAGCCACTTCGGTGAGCTGTCATCTGTGGCCAGGTCGCTTCCGAAAAAGTGCTATATAGCTCAATGGGCCTTACCCGGTAAAATAAAAATAGCTACAGCAGCACTTATCCGCAAAGTGACGAGGTCTGTGTGTGCGTGAGAGAGATAACAGTTGGTCATTCGGTGTGTGCGAGATGTGAGTGAGGGAACAGGTGTGTGTGAGATGTGAGCGAGTGGGTGTGCGTGTGAGTGAGTGTGAGATGTGAGCGAGTGGGTGTGTGCGTGTGAGTGAGATGAGTGAGTGTGCGTGTGAGTGAGATGAGTGTGAGTGAGTGTGCGTGTGAGATGAGTGAGTACGAGGTGTGAGTGAGTGTGAGATGTGAGCGAGTGTGAGTGTGCGTGTGAGTGAGATGAGTGAGTGTGCGTGTGAGATGAGTGTGCGTGTGAGATGAGTGTGCGTGTGAGTGAGTGTGCGTGTGAGTGAGTGTGCGTGTGAGTGAGTGTGCGTGTGAGTGAGTGTGCGTGTGAGATGATTGCGAGTGCGTGTGAGTGTGCGTGTGAGTGAGATGAGTGAGTGTGCGTGTGAGTGAGATGAGTGAGTGTGCGTGTGAGATGAGTGTGAGTGGGGAGCGATAGTGTAGCGGTTAGCGCGCTGCGCTATGAACCTGGCGACCCGGGTTCGATTCGCGCTCACGGCCAACACCAGTGACGATTATCTGAACCGGTCCCGGGCCTCCCCTAGGTCGACTCAGCCTCAAATGAGTACCTGGTGCGGTGTGTAAACATCGCCACTAGGGAGACAAAGGCGGTCGGGCGTGGTGCTGGCCACCCACCCCCTCGTGTACCGTTCCGGCCTTCATAGGTGCTCGCTAACAGCACTTGCCCCTACAGTCTGTGCAGGCTATATGGGGGATCTTTGTTTGTGTGCGTGTGAGTGAGTGTGCGTGTGGGTGAGTGTGCGTGTGAGATGAGTGTGAGTGGGTGTGAGATGAGTGTGAGTGGGTGGGCGTGTGAGATGAGTGTGATTGAGTGTGCGTGTGAGATGAGTGTGATTGAGTGTGCGTGTGAGATGAGTGTGAGTGAGTGTGCGTGTGAGTGAGTGAGTGTGAGATGAGTGTGAGTGGGTGTGAGGTGAGTGAGTGAGTGTGCGTGTGAGATGAGTGTGAGTGAGTGTGCGTGTGAGATGATTGCGAGTGCGAGTGAGTGTGAGATGTGAGCGAGTGCTTGTGAGTGGGTGTGTGAGTGAGTGTGAGATGTGAGCGAGTGCTTGTGAGTGGGCGTGTGAGTGAGTGAGTGTGAGATGTGAGCGTGTGAGTGGGTGTGCGAGTGAGTGCGAGATGCGAGCGAGTGGGTGTGCGTGGAGATGATCGTGCGTCGCGATGCGAGTGTTGTGTAAGGATGAGAGGCGAGTGGGACGTGAGTGGATGGGTGTCGAACTTGTGACGAGGGTGGCGTGGGGTCCACCGCACAGCGCTGGTGTCGTGCCCCCCCCCCCCCCAAACGGAGAGCGAGGGAGCTGTGCGTCGGAGGCGATGATGCGACCTCATCACATCCATCATCGTCATCCTCACCGCTACTATCACCACCACCACCAACAGGAGCGCCGCAGTGCATTGCTCATAGACGGTGTGTGGCAAGTTCTGACAAAAGCACACCACGCGTATAAACACAATGCAGCTACAGTATTATATTACAAAGTGGAGTTCGCGCTTACAGTGCCTGGTTGTTGGTGTGTGTGTGATGGGGGAGTGTGTGTGTGATGGGGGAGTGTGTGTCTGTGTGTGATGGGCGAGTGTGTGTGTTATGGGAGAGTGTGTGTGTGTGTGATGGGCGCGTGTGTGTGTGTGAGATGTGGGAGTATGTGTGTGTGTGAGATGGGGGAGTGTGTGTGTGTGTGAGTGTGATGGGCGAGTGTGTGTGTGTGATGGGCGAGTGTGTGTGTGATGGGGGAGTGTGTGTGTGATGGGGGAGTGTGTGTGTGTGTGATGGGCGAGTGTGTGTGTGTGTGATGGGGGAGTGTGTGTGTGTGTGATGGGGGAGTGTGTGTGTGTGTGATGGGGGAGTGTGTGTGATGGGAGAGTGTGTGTGATGGGGGAGTGTGTGTGTGTGATGGGGGAGTGTGTGTGTGTGATGGGGGAGTGTGTGTGTGTGTGTGTGATGGGGGAGTGTGTGTGTGTGATGGGGGAGTGTGTGTGTGTGTGATGGGCGAGTGTGTGTGTGTGTGATGGGCGAGTGTGTGTGTGATGGGGGAGTGTGTGTGATGGGGGAGTGTGTGTGTGTGTGTGTGATGGGGGAGTGTGTGTGTGTGATGGGGGAGCGACATCCGGGGTGAACTCATTCGCAGTCACTCATTCACTCACCCATTCACCCACTCACCCACACATTCACTCACTGACTCACTATTTACTTACCCATTCACCCACCCACCTATCCAATGACCCACCCACCAAATCACCGACACATATACCCATTCACTCACCCGATCACCCATTTATCCACGAATCATTCCCTCATCATAAGTGTGGCGTAGCTACACCAAGTCACATTCACTCTGTAGGGAGAGGTGCTCTGGTGTTTGTAAAAACTTTGTCCTGAAGGGGTTTCTCGAAGGGCGAGTAAGTGGCCTTTGTGTTCGATTGTTGCACAGCGCCCGCTAGGGCGGTGTCGGTTCACGTAATTTAATCAGGGGGCGGTTTTAATTGATATGCTAACGAGAACCAGTTCAACGTACTGAGTCATCGCCCTCATCACATCCCTCCCCCATCATCCACATCCCTCCCCCATCCACATCACGGCCTCCCCCATCACTGCCATCACAGCCTACCCTATCACGACCATCACTGCCAAGGACGCTCGAGTGAGCTGTGTGCCTATGTTGAGTGATATTTTTGTAATGTATGATACAGCCATTTGTCAATCTACTGCTGGATGAGAGCATTCCCAAGCCACGCCGGTCATGGGTGTTATTTAATCGTACTGCATCACACTGTTCAGTGAAGGAGGAGTGGCCCTCTACTGGTTGAGATGTTAGCCAAGGTCAGGAGTTGAACCACAGGTCGCCGTATGTATGTATATTGAGCTTCTTTTGCACCGTACGTAGCCAATCGTGCTAATCGAAGATGCGGGGCTCCGTTAAGTGCTCTAACCACTGCCACCGCTCCACACACGTGTCACTGTGGATTGCGTGTGCGAGTGAGGACGGCGCGATGTGCCTTTATATCTGCAGATGTGCAGCATCGTAACACCCACAATCATCACCATCATCCCTTCAGGGTCGGTAAAATATACACCACCTGTTGATAGCATCACGGACTGCACGTCAGCAGTGCTGGTTGCATTTAATAAGGGATGATCTATGGCTTGCCATGGGAACGTGGAATTGCTATTACAGTAGTGAGAAGTCGGCGCCTCTGTACGTCTGGTGGGGTCACGGAGTAAAGAGATTGGATGTGAACCCGTGGGTGGGTTTTAATCGTGGATTAACAGGCTCCAGTGACAACATCATGGCATGTTCCCTGCTTAGTG